TGGGGAGAAAGGAAAAAAAAAAGAAAAAAAGAGAGAGAAAGGCAAGGAAACGGGAGAAGGAAAGGAATGGGGGAGAAATGCGGCGGCGGGGAGCGGGGCTGGCGGCTCCTGCGGACCCCCGCTGACACCGCGCTCTCCCCGTCCCGCCCCGCAGCGCACGGTGCAGAAGAACGCCAAATACGTGTGCCTGGCCAACAAGAACTGCCCGGTGGACAAACGCCGCCGGAACCGCTGCCAGTACTGCCGCTTCCAGAAGTGCCTGGCCGTCGGCATGGTGAAGGAGGGTGAGTGCGGGGCTCGGCGCCGGGCCGGGCCGCACCGAGCCGAGCCCCGTCGGGGCGGCTGAGCCGCGCTTCTCTTGCAGTGGTTCGCACAGACAGCCTCAAAGGCCGGAGGGGTCGCTTGCCATCCAAACCGAAGAGCCCCCAGGAGCCCTCTCCCCCCTCTCCCCCGGTGAGTCTGATCAGTGCGCTGGTGAGAGCCCATGTCGACTCCAACCCGGCTATGACCAGCCTGGACTATTCCAGGGTAAGCTGGACCGAGCTCGCGTTGGGACCTTGCCGCGCCCTCCGCGCCCGGCACGCAGCGGCCGCCCGCAGCCCGGAGCGGCTCAGCACAGCGCGCTGCGGCGGGCGGACGGACGCTTCCCCGGCCGCGCTCCGGGCGTCCCCGGCGCCGGCTGTGCCGCTTCCCTCGCGGGCTGTGCCGTACGGCCGGCCCCGCCGGGCGGCCCCGCGCCGAGCTGCGCGGAAACGGCCATTTGCATCTCGCGAGCGGCGACCTCGTCGCGCCGTTCCTAATGGAATTAATTGCCCCGGAACATCTAATTTCCTTAGTGGTCAGGGAGAGATTTAATTGTTAGAAAAACCCGGCTCCCCTCTTAGAAACGGGGTTAGCAATTTCACGGGTTATATACTTCGGAGAGCCTCATTAAGTGCTTTTTAAAATGAATTTCCAGTTCCAGGCTAACCCCGACTACCAGATGAGCGGGGACGACACTCAGCACATCCAGCAGTTCTACGACCTGCTCACCGGCTCCATGGAGATCATCCGCGGCTGGGCGGAGAAGATCCCCGGCTTCACCGACCTGCCCAAAACCGACCAGGATCTGCTCTTCGAGTCTGCCTTCCTCGAGCTCTTCGTGCTGCGCCTGGCGTACAGGTGAGCGGCCGCCGGCCGGGATGGGGGCGGTGGGAAGCAGAGCCTTTTGGGGCCGGTTAATGAAGCCGTGCTTTATTAACTCCATGGTAATTAGGTGCCTCTTAAATCCTTCGTTTATTGCTCCTCGACTAATTAGTTGTTTAGCTTTTCTCCCCTCGTCTTCTCTTTCTTTGCCTTTCCCTTTCTGCCTTTCCCTTTCTGCCTTTCCCTGTTTGCCTTTCCCTTTCCCTTTCCCTTTTTTTTCTCTCTCTCCTCCTTTTCTGTCCTCTTTTTCTCTCTCTCATTTCTCTTTTCCCAGCTAATTTCCCTTTCTCACCCGCTCCCCCATTCACTCTGTTGCTGTCACACTCCCTGCAGGTCGAACCCCGTGGAGGGGAAGCTCATCTTCTGCAACGGGGTTGTCCTGCACCGGCTGCAGTGCGTCCGCGGCTTTGGGGAATGGATCGATTCCATCGTTGAGTTTTCCTCCAACTTGCAGAACATGAACATCGACATCTCTGCATTCTCCTGCATCGCTGCCCTGGCCATGGTGACAGGTCAGTGCCCCCCACCCATCTCCTGCCCCCATGCCATCCCGCGGTGTCACCCCGTAACGTCCCGCGCCCTCCCGTGTGTTTTGCAGAGAGGCACGGGCTCAAAGAACCCAAGCGGGTGGAAGAGCTGCAGAACAAGATAGTGAATTGTCTCAAGGACCACGTGACTTTCAACAGCGGGGGCCTGAATCGCCCCAACTATTTGTCCAAACTCTTGGGGAAGCTCCCCGAACTCCGCACGCTTTGCACGCAGGGGCTGCAGCGCATTTTCTACCTGAAACTGGAGGATTTGGTGCCACCGCCAGCAATAATCGACAAACTCTTCCTGGACACTTTACCTTTCTAAGACTCTTCCCGTGCACTGACGCTGAACTCGAGGAACCTTCGCCCGTCGGAAGGGGACTTCAGCTGGGCACGGGGCAGCGCGCGGGGCGGCACGGCCCCCCAGCCAGCTCTGAGCCTCCTGCGGGCGGAGCGCGACGGGGCGTTTGGCTCTGGGGCACCGTGGATGCGGCTCTCGGACTTCCCGAATCCCATGGTATAAACTTTTTATTCTCGGCTTATAGATGAGGTTATTATTGAGGACTTCTGGTTAAACAGACGAAGCAATCTGGCGACGCCGGGCGCGCGGCTCAGAGCGAGAGGGGCAGCCCACGCGCTGAGGGACCCGCGGGCATCGCCTCCTAAAGACTGAAAGTTTTCTGCTGTAAAAGAAAGCTGTAATATACACAGATCCTAAATGTTCCGTGGGTGGCATGCCAGGAAGGAAGGGAAAGGCTTGTACAGTTGTCAGACGCCGTTTGGCTTTTCTGCAAATGAACCCGTGCCTAGTCATGAATCTATATGGGAACCAATTCTAAAGAATTAAGAAATAAAAGCTAAGCGTGTTTGGGGGGAAAAACACATGAGAAAAGAGAAGGAAAAGCAAATGGCTCCGTGCGAGGGGAGCGTGACGACCCTAAGGTGGCAATGTTATAGGCACTTGCTATTCAGTAATGTCTATATTCTATAAATAGTATTTCAGACACTATGTAGTCTGTTAGCTTTTATAAGGACTGGTAGTTCTCTGAGCTTCAAACGTTTTCTCAGTTGTAAAATAGGTGGGCACAAAAGTATTACCGACCCCGAAACCCTCGCAGAGGGACTCATAGTGTTTGTAAGCACCGTCCACACCCCTTGTTTGTAAGTGTTGTATGTACTGTTGATGTTGATTAAAAGAAAAGAAGTTTATATCTTGATTATTTTGTTGTCTAAAGCGAAACGAACTTTGCATGCAGCAGCTTCTGGCCGTTTCCAGAGCGCTTATAATATACATCGCTCCCTGGAAATTACTGAGCACTTTGAATTTTTGTTCTGTTTTGTTGGTTGTTTTCTTTTTTTAATGTCTAAAAGTCGTCGGTTAATATATTATTTTATGTTGGAGTAATATTTTTAATATTGCCATATACTGTAGTATTTTTTCTTTGTATATTTCCAGTATGGCACACGATGCAGATCACTGCCTTTTTTTCTATGGTGTACAACAGTTAGAAACGCGGATTGGTTTTTTTTTTTTCCCCCTATAACTCTTTCTTTGAGAAAGACAATTTTAATGTTTACAACAATAAAACGTGTAAACGAACAGAATCTCGTCTTCTTTCTGTCCAAGTGAGAAGCAGCAGCGCCAGCACCCATTGCAAATAAAGGACAATAGACTGACAATGTAGTAATAAACCGCACAGGAGAATGGATGGGGAGGTTTCGTTTCAGTAACGCGCGCCGGAACGCAGCGGCTCTGCGGGAGGAGGAGGAGGAAAAGCCCGCACCGAGAGGTTGGTCCTCGCGCCGCTTTTTGTCCTCGTTCGGAGAGCTTTGGCTCCTTCGGCCGCTTCGGCACCGCCGGGCTCCCGCACCGCTCTCTGCGGTCCGTTTGGGGTGCGCAGCGCAGGACGGGGCGGCCCCGGGGGGGTTCGGTTCGGTTCGGTTCCGCACCGCAACGCCTGGGGGTCCCGGGAAGCGCCGCTCCGGGGAAGGCGAACCGCAACGGGCTTTGTGGGAATCAATTGCGGTCAGCGGCGCGTTAGGAAGGAACTTCCCGGTCAGTTCAGGGGCTGCAGAAGGAGGCAGCGATAGCGGCCGTGCCCTCCGTCGGCTTCAGCCCGGAGCAGAGCCGGGGGCCTCGCGACGCGGCCGGGGACCGGCGGTCCGTTCCGGGCTCGGAGCTGGCGGGGGAAGCTGGGGAATTCGGGGAACTTCCGCCTCCTGCGGCGGGGATAAACGGAACGGCCGCCGGAGCGCCGCTCCTCCATGTGCCACCGACTCTTTGCGGCGCTTCTCGCGGCCGCGTGCTCGACCCCCAACAGCCCCGGGAGGCGGCAGCCAGAGGGCAGAGGCAGCCCTCGGCGCGCTCCCCGGAGCGGAGCTGCCCCCGTTCCCGCCGCTCCCGCAGCCCCCGGGCGCCGTCCGCACCGCAGCGCGGTGGATCGGGGCGGCCGCGCCGTCGGGGAGAGGCGGCTCGGCGGCAGCTCCACGGCCGTCCGCGGGCCCGAGCCGGAGGCGTTGTCCTGTCGGGGCCGCGGGTGTGCAGGGCCGGGGCCGTTAGCACAGCGGGGCTATTTCGAAGCATTTTTTTTGCAACTCTCCGGGCCGATCCCCCTCTTCGGAGGAGCGGGGCAGCCCGGGGGCACCGATACTCGGGAAAGAGCCGGCGGGGAAAGCGGACAGGAAGTGCCGGGGAAGGTCGGCATCGACCGCGGCCCCCTTTGGGAGCGGGGAAACACGCGGGGGCCGGGTTAGGGGCCGGGGCCGGGCGGGAGGCGCGGGCACAGGTGCGGGGCGGCCCCAGGTGCGGGGCCGGGTGGGGCTCAGATCCGGCCGGGCTTAGAGCGATCCGCTCGGCGGCCGCTCCTCCGGCAGAGCGGGACTTCGTGCCCCTTCGGCTCCGTCCGCCGGCGGCCGGGCCCCGCGTGCTGCTGGGATTGCCCCCTTCTCTTCGCTCGGCGCCGATGCAGAGGCCGGAACGGAGCCGTCGGGTGCGGAGGTTTTACGGCTCGAATGGACGAGGAGGAATGGATTCCCGGTAAGCGCCGAAAGCAGTGAGTGCCGCTGCCGGCCGGCGCCTGTGCGGGTATCGGCCTGGATGCGGGTGCTGCGTGCCGGCCGGGCTCTGCTGCTCGGTATTGCCGACGCCGTCGAGACTTTAACCCTTACACCGAGATGCCGCCCGGTGCAGCTTCCTGTTGGGCCACGGGCTGCTTTCACTCGACACTTTCTTTTGGCCGAGTATTTGAAAGAACTTTTCTGCCTCGCGGAGCGCCCCGGGCACAGCAGCCGTCCGTCCTTCGGCCGCAGCCCCGCGCTATGCCGTTCCCTGCCGGGCTGCGGGGGGAGCGGCACGGAGCGGCACAGCCCCGGCTCGGCCGAGCTCCGCTCCGATCGGAGGGCGTAACTTTCAGATGTACGGTATCCCCGATTAGTAACGGTGTTAATTGTTTTAGCTGCACACCGATCGTTACACTTGGGGCTGCCTTTTGTGCTCGGCCTGCCTGAGAAGGCAGACGAAGCTGTCCTGCTTGGTTCCCTTGGGGCTTCCTTTTTTTTTTTTTTGGTTTGTTATTAGTTTGTTACCTGACTTCTCTGCTGGTACGTTGCACTGACTTCTGGAGTCGCTCCTTCATTGCAGTGATGCATTGGAACAGAGCCTGTTTGCTGCAGTTATCTAAAGCCACCTTCCTCTTTCTATACTCTTCTATCGTGGACCATCCCAGTGCTGGACACATTTCTCCCCCTGGTTTGGAGAGGTGAGGGGACTTGAGTGTAATCCCCCGAAACGCGTCGGAGTTTGCAATGTGACAAACAAACAGGGGTGAGCTCAGGTCATTCAGTGCATCGTAGTCATCTGAAATTTAATGCAAGCTGCGTTTCTCTGCGGCCCAGGCAGTGCATTGCATGCCTCGTGTGTGCGGGGCTCTGCGTCCCATAGAGCTGTATGTCTGCGGTTCTGATGGAATCCACGAGTGCAGCTCAGGGCTGAGGCAGTGTCACGACATATTCTGGGGCTGCCTTTCCTGAGCGCCGTATGGGAAAGATGAATTACCGCAGGCGTGACACCCTCGCAGGAGCTTTATTAGTTTTGGAATGCAATCAGCAACACTTGCTTTCTTAGCCCTTTACCTAATTATCCTCATCGCATATGTCACAGGCGTAGGGAACAGCCAGCAGGAATTTATGTCTGGGGAAGTCAGAGCTGGGGAGCTGCTCTGTGTGATTTTAGCCCCCTGACTTCTCTTTGGTAGCAGAAGTCCCCGCGCTGGCCGTGTGCGTAGTGCACCTTGGATGCACCTGGAGGTGATTTCTGCTGTATTAGTGAACCCACTGCTGCATAATCTGCATTTGCTGAAACGTTAGCCCTAAGTAACCTTTATGGCTGGCTGTGGTGAGGAGGGAGATGTTGGTATTCATGAATGTTTTGACATGTTTGACATTTTCTATACTGTGTGCTCTTTCTCTGTTCTTCTGATCTCCTCCTGCCTCCCCTCCCCAGCTGCAGCAGTAAATGCCCCCCCCAGGCTGGGGGTGTGCTGGGCAGCACGGCTTTGGGTTTCGCTTTCAAAGTGGGCGCCAGGGCAAATAATGCGATTATTGCATTTTAATGGGAGGTAACTCTAACCAGAAGAGCTCATTTTGACGAAACAGGTGATTTGTGTTCCCTTTCCAAAGGGATACATCTGGCGTACGGAGCTGTGAAATCGGAAGGCAGGGATTTCTGCAGAGCTGGGGCTTCGCGTGGATGTGCGATAAATGCCTTGGGTTGGGTGCAGCAGCAGCAAGGCAGCAGGGCTCACTTCAGCAGGGTGGTGCCTGACTTTAAGGCTCTGTTTTCTGCAGGACAGCAAATGTGCCAAACTCTGCAGCGACTGACGTTAAAACAAATGTAAACGGCACAGTTGTTGGGTAGGCCTCTTGCTTGGGTTTGTTTCTGAGTTTTGTCAGCATCTCTATGCATGCAGTGCTCTGAAAGCCACTCCTGTTGGTAAACGCGGGCCTTTCTCTGCGCTGAAAGGACTCAGAGAACCAGTCGGGTGGTTTGGGCACTGAGCATTGTGCCCCCTGCTCCTCTCTGAGGATGGAGTGGCTCTCGGAACAACAGGGAGGTGTGTTGGCACAGAGCAGGGCTGATGCTGGAGCGCTCCCATCGCCTCTGGGTGCAGCTGTGCTGTGGGGACTGCACTGCAGCCCTTCTCTGCAGGCAGTGCTGATAGGTGCATGCTGTGCTGATGCCCCAAATCGCAGCACTGCACATCTGGTGAGGGAACAGCTTTCATAGAGCAGCTCTGTTTGCAGTGCTGGCCGCCGTGCTGCTGCCTTGTGCTTGCTGCGTGTCTCACTGACAACATACGGATTTGCTCATGTTAAGAAACACCAAATCATATTAGCTAATTTTTCTTAGGTTTTTTTTTTTTTTTTTTTTACAGGCACATCAATCTACAATTTTAATTATTCCATCATTTTAATGTCGCACGTGACCTACTTGGCACACTTCAATCACCAGTCAGAATTACCAGCAATGAAAGTGGCCGTAACGCAGCTGTAAAATGAATGGCAGAAAGTTCTCGCTGTGCCTTCATCCTGAGTGTGCCCGGGTTCCTTTCTGTCACTGGGGGTTGGTAGCATTCTTGTGTGTGACCCGCAGAGGTGTGCTGTGTGTGCAGTGAGGAGAAGTGCTAGGCCTGCACCGGGCACCTGTCTTCATTAAATAGCTGTGGTGCATCCTGTGCTCTCTGCACCATCCAGTCCTTCATGAGCACTGGGAGAGGTGTGTCAGCACGTTCTGCCTTTGGGCTGTGTGTGTGCACCACTGGGGAGGTCTGAGCGCACCTCTCAGGTCAAAGCTGGGATCCCCGTTGCAGCTGGGCTGTGCTCGGCGCTGAGCTGGGAGGCAGAGAGCAGCTGTGACATTTATCAAACAAAACGTGGATGGATCCATCCCTCGGCTGAGCCGCAGTGCTCTGCGGGCTGTGCCCGTGTGCGTGCAGCGAGTGCAGCAGGGTGTGTGTGTGCAGGCTGTGTGCATGCGGCAGGCGCTGCACGGCTCTGCAACGCTGTACCTTTGGCAGCATTTTGAAAGGAAAGGTGCAAACTCGATTCCTTTGCTGTACGGCATCTCCTGGGCAGATGCAAGGCAGGTCTGCCCAACTTACACAGCAGCTCAGTGCCTTCAGCGCAGCGATAGCTCCGTTTTAATGCTGCCGTGGTTAATTCTTTAGGATCCCTTCTAAATGTTATTCTCCTGCAGCCCATTCCCGAGTCTGCGAGGGCTGACATTTTTTGTCCCAGATATTTCCCCGCTTTGTCTCTGCTCTGTGCTGGCAGGGGCTGACAGCCGCGGCCCCGCAGGTGCAGGGCAGGTGAGCGGCCCCGCGGGCAGCGCTGTCACTTTGCTGTGCTTCACGGCGCTCTGCTCCGCGCTGCTGCCTGCAGGGCGCTGCCATTTGGCCCAGCCTGGTTGCTCCGTGCCCCCCCCGGGCTGAGCGCTGCCGGTCGGGGTTGGCTTTGTGGGGCAGGGAGCAGCAG